CCTCGCGACAGCCCTTGGTCCGTTATAGCGTACTACCGCATTAGCTTGCGGTGTTTTTGAAGTCGGAATCAAGTCGGAAGTGAACTTGTCAGTGTTTTTCAGTAAGTTTTTGCTTTGTTAACGTACTTTTGAATCTGCCAATTCAGTATGGTACGACAGAGTCAAATGTGTGGAAAAATAAGCTTAAATTACCCGAATTTGTCTTGTCACAGGTAGGTATTGTTTCCGCCGCACCGTAATCGCCGTACATAGGCGTTCCACAAGGGAGCCTCTCACAATAAAAATAATTTCCCAATATATTGTTGAATTTTGAGCTATTAAAACAAAACGTAGTAGTATATGAATTTTAATTCGTCTCAATTACTAACTAACTGTTGTAGATCATAAGAAATTTGAATATAAACGTTGCATTTGAGATACTGTTAATGTATAAGTATAACTATTAATATATATTATATTTTTTTCTTAAAATTGCGAGCGTCAATAATTTGGTCATGTATATAGCCGATTTATCCTCAGAAAGGAAGTTTTGCTACAACAAAATTAAACAAATTAAAAAAAAAAAAAATTTAAAATATTTAATTGCATTATTATATCATGCACCCTTCGGCTCGTTCTATAGAACAATGTTTTTTAGCCACCGTACAATTATCCCGGATCTCCTAGAGTTATTTGTACGGTGGGTTTACCTTTTTTTAGAATGGGAAGAACTGTAAATAATTCTTAGGTTACTAGTTTTTACATACCTATATACAGTTTGACCCAGGCCTCCAAAAAAACTTCTATCTACCTAACTTACGCTTTTTGGTGTAATATTTTATTTCAATTTTATTATAAATTATTTATAAAAAGTTGTAGTCAACATATGCTTATAATTTTGTCAACATAACAAAAGGTGATTCTCGGGGTGATTCAAACCGGCAATTATTTTAATTTTTTTATTAAACCAGCATAATTCTTCTTAAATTATTTGAATAAAATCGGTAAAAAAAAATGAAATTTCTAACACCCTGTATCTCCGAGAAACTAATCATTTTAGACATAACATTTTATATTTTAAAAAAAAACTTTTTTACTTAATTTTAATCTGCAAAGAATAAGCTGCCAAGAAGTTTCCGGAATACAATTCGGACCACCCTGTATATTCATCGTTACAATATTGATAAGATTTCAAACTTAACAATGACGTGGGGTAAAACATTGAACCTTTTTGGACATGTAGAGCATTATTAACTAGTTTGTAGAAGTTGATTTATTTATAATAACTACGATTAATATTATGCATATTATTAGATCGCACAATGATATTTCAAATTCACAATAAAAGAAGTTAAAAATAATCTCTTTAAATTGCTGACCTGTATAGTTTAATAATACAGGTTTGTTCACCACATACAACACGGAGTATTGTAGCTAAACGATGAGATTTTTACAAATTGTAAGTTTTGGGTTTCGTTGAAGGACTATTAGAGCTACAATTTAAAAATATTTTTACAAGATACAGAGTGTCCCATATAATAAAAATATCAAAGTTGTATTTTTTAAAAAAAAAAAAAAATCCTGTATATTATTACAATATTTTAGTTTCATTGATTAAAATAAAGGTAAATTTTGATTAAGGTTTTTCACACTAAAACCTTACCGTTTTGAAATATTTTTCAATTTGTGAAATTGCAACGTAAAAATTTTTAGATAAAAGCTCATTTCTCCAAGGGTATCAGATGTTTAATACAAAAATATTTAATGAAGTTTATTTATCGATCAGTTATTATATTGCAAATAATAAAAAAATAACTACCTTATACCAGAGTGTCTAAAAATTTATGTTTAAAATAATTATTTTTTTTTTTTTTTTTTTTTTTTTTTTAAATGGTATGCCCTGTATATTTTAGGAGAATCAGATACACAAATTAAATTGTCTAATCAAATTGTAAATATACCAATTTTTTTACCTATCCCTTCAAGTTTTCGTAGAAATGCATTTTCTTATAATTTAGACCCTCATTATCAATATACCCAGGAATATTGACATTTTTGATTGTTTTTAAAAGCAACAAATGTCAAAATTAAACAGAAGTAAATATTATCGTTTTTATGCAATGCTATTATTTTAAAACTCAGAGAAAAAAAAGAGATTTAAAAAAAAACAAAACTATTTAAATCTTATAAAAGATGTAATAAAGACGCATTAATAAATAATAACAGCGTTTTCCGCCCATATAGCCGTAATTTAATGTACATCTGTAATCTGGTGCAGGTTAATAAATTATTAAAGAATAAAATACAAAAAAAAAAAAAAAAAAAAATATAAAATAAGTATCAAAATTAAGTCTCTGTTGTTATAATAAGCATTATTAAAAAATGAAATATCATTTTTAGGTGTTTACTTTTTATCACACTGTCTAATGCCTATACAAAATTCAGTTTTTAGGTATTTTGGAGCAATTATCTATAATCAAGCGCAAACAGCAATTAAGTAGTTTGAATACTGGAATCGATATTAATTTGGTCCTCTTTAACAAAATATTTAAATCAGTTTTAATTTTATTTTTAAATTGAATCATAAACGAATTAATATCGACAATATTAGTTCTGTTCTTTAAAAATTTGGTACATCTTTTAAAAATAATCTAAAAGTCAATAAGTCCATGGGTAGATTGATAAATAAGTTCCTAAATTACAAGAAATGCATTTTCTACGCGAACTAAAAGATAGGTAAAATATGGTATAGTACAATTTGACATAGCAAGTAAATTGTGCTTCTGATTCTCATAAAATATACAGGGTGTTCTATTTAAATTAACAAGTTATTGCCGTGTGAAGCTAATAATTATTTAAAAATAAATGTTTAGACACTCTGTATAAGGGTAGTATTATTTTATTATGCAAAACACATTAACTGATCGACATTAATAAGACTTCTAGAGATAAATATAGTATTAAAAGACTTTTGTCCCTGGAAGAAATGAACCTGACAAAAGGTTTTTTATACCTTGCAATATTTCACAAAAATTGAGAAAAATAAAAAAAAAAAAACGGTAAGGTTTATCTAAGTAATAATAAATCTTAATCAAATTTACTTAACTTAATTTTTTTTTTTTTTTTTTTTAAATTAATAATATTAAATCTTTCAATCTTAATTTAATCGTAGAAACTAAATAATATGTACAGTAATATACAAAGGGTGTTCCCATTTAAAAAAATTACAAATTTTTTTTTTTTTTTTTTTTTTTTTTTTTTTTTTTTTGTAAAATGATTTTTAAATTGTAGCTCTAATAGTCCTTCATCGAACCCAAAACTTACAATTTGTAAAAATCTCATCGTTTAGCTACAATACTCCGTGTCGTATGTGGTGAACAACCCTGTATAATAGTTTAGTAAATATTGGAGGGTAGTATAATACTAACCGATTTTTTTTTCTAAAATATTGAGCCAAAACCTATTTTAAGCACAACCACTTCCTGTTAAAATAAATTTGACCATAATCCTTAACTGCACTGAGATTATAAACGACGAAGTTGAGATATGCTTATGAAAATTCCTTTCGCTACGAACATATTCGGGATCGAATCACCTTGGTGGCCTAGATCCGCACAGCGTAAATTCCGCTTATACCGTTTTCATTCCTCGTCCAAATTGATGTTTAAATTGTTTCTCTTTGCCAGACAGGCTCGGCCAACTTATTACATTTTATTTACATTTCTTTTATATGCGATTTAGCTGTGCAGAGCTGAGAGATTCGGATTATGAGTAACGAAGAACGTATCGGATTGAACGGGAACGTCTGAATAATTTTAGATAATACCGGGTTGTGTTGAACGCGAGCCAAAATTATAAATTGATTTGCAAACAAGAAACGTTCTTTAAGCGGAAATGTAATTCGATATTGCAGTGGCACTAATGCTATTCTGGAGTAAACCGATCCTCGAATTCTTTGCTTATTTAATTTGAATAGCTGATGTAATTCAATAATTGAATTTTTGGATTTGTTAGAATTTCTTATAATATATTAATACGCTCACATCTTTTATTACAGAGAATTAAATTGATGTATGTCATATACTAACGTACCAAATCTCGTTTCTTATCTGAAAAAAAATAAAAAAGTTATAGGGGTGAGCCAACAACAAAAAAATAGTCCTTTAAGATCTTTTAAGAATTGGATAAAGAATTAGATAACTGTAAACCGTAGAAAGAGTAGATATGTGTAGTTGCAGCAGTTGCATATTATAAATTTTTAATACCTATATATGGAGTGTAGAGGTAAGGAGAAATAACTCTTACGGGACTTTTATTGAAAAAGTGGTCACAAAATGGGAAGAATAAGGGTTCACCAAATAACCACAGTGGCGCTAAAAACGCATGAATCTAAAAAATGAAAAGTAACCATAGATAAGAGAATAAAAATAAATATAACCAAACATTACCCAAAAAAATTTTGTTTTTATTTTTCAGACAGAGTTTTTGAATATAAAATAATTATTGTTTATCAATATTTTGTGCTTTATTTATTATTTAACAATGGTTAAAGTGTGTGTGGTGCGAAGTTGATTGAATCGCTGATGGAAAAATAAAGAGCAAAGGCAAAGTCTACGGTATGTAAAATACATAATATAATTCAGTATTGTATTATTTGTATTATATGTAAAAATTAGAGTCAATCAAAAGTGTAGTAAACATTTTTCATAAGATTATTGACATACATGTTACAAAGTATATTTTTACAATCCTTTTTATAAAGTTACAACCTAAATAAAATGTATTTTTAATGATTTTAAAGTTTGACAGACACGCACAAATTGTTGGCATTTTTTTAAACAAGTAAAAGTAGGAAATACATAAAATTGTAGGTACTTTCAAGAAATATAGTTAACTGTAAGTGCTGTATTTTAATAATCTATGAAAAATCAAAATCATCAGGATAATATTAGGTATTGATTTTCAGACAAGAATTAGATTACAGTGATGATCAAAAGCATTTAGATATTGTTTTGAAATCTACAGATAAGTTATGGCAGTTCCATTTTAAAGAACAAGATGTTAAAGTTTGTGATAAAATTGTCATCAGAAATACTGTCCACTTCAGTATTTACATAGGAAAATATTGGAGGATGAAGCTCTACCTACTGCCTCAGGTTAATTTAAATTCTGAATTGCAACAACAGCAACAAGCAAGAAGGACACCATTAAATGAGTATTATACACATAAGTATTATTATACACAGAAAGAGTAATGTTATACACATAAATATTAACATTTTCTAGAGCAACAACACAATAAAAAACCAAAATATGAACACCAGCAACTAAAACAGGAACCATTAAATGAATATTATACACGTAAGTACAATTTGATTGAATAAAAAACGGCGTCAGCGATGCCTATGAAATGAAGATTGCTGTCATTTTATATGTAAAATGATATGGAGAATGTCATCGAGATGTTCATTTCCAAGCCAACTGGACGCCGTGTTTTTTCGATCATACAGTATTATTATACACATAAATAATAATATTATACACATAAACATCCCTTGATAAAGATCAACATTTTGTAGAGCAATAACAGCATCAAATAATGGAAATAATGGACCCTACTGCTCAAATCAAAAACAAAATTTCATCATTACCACTTTATTGGTTATATCAATAAAAGAAATTATTGAGTTTATGAGTCTAGATCCTACAAGCAAGCAGATCTATCACATAATTTAAAATGAAGATTTATCTATTATAGTATGTATAAACACTTTGCATCTTTTATTCAATGTTGTAATGAATTAACAAATTGCAGGTAATTTATTCTAATAATGAAAAAGAAACTTTGGATCAAAAAATATTTTCTTCTGATGAGGCTTATGAATATTAAAGTCTGTTGAAGTTTGGCCATTATGTGTTGGTATACAATTTATTTATGATGTTACAGTAGTTAAACCATCCGAATACAAAACATATTTAAAATCCACTATTCTTAATGAACCAACTTGAGAGGAAGCTAAGAGAAAGGTTCTATTGGGTGGACTACAAGAAAAAGGGACATATACATGAGGATCTGGAAGGGCTATAACATTACGTCTCAAGCCATGGAACAATAGGAAACGAAATTCAAAGGAAAACATTACAATACGTGGGATGCAAATTATAGTGCAAAGAATTGAGAAAAAGAATTATTAAAAGTAGTTATTGTTACGATAGTTAAACCATCCGACAACCAAATATATTTAAAATCCACTATTCTGAATGAATAGCAACTACCAACCTGGGAGGAAGCTGCGAGAACGATTCTATTGGGTGAACTACAAGGAAGACATGAGCATCTGAAAGGGCTATAAAATTATATTATTATTTCACGTCCTAAGCCATGTTGAAATAGCTGGGAGCGAAAAAGAAGATAATACTGCACACGATTCTTGTCTAGAAGTAGTTGATATTAAGGTAGTTAAGCCATCCGACTATCGAACATTTAAAATCCACTATTCTGAATGAATGGCAACTACGATGGCAAAACGTAAATAAATACTTGTACAGTATAAAATTATATTATATTGGCTTAATTTTTATACTAAATAAAATGTGTTACGTTATTTTTGACCTGCATTATATTTATTTAAATCCCATATCATCAATTAAACTTTTAATAAAGTTTTCCTAATTATAATTAACATTAATATTAAACTAAAGCTTTTTCATCTTGAATGAGATTTACGAAATAACTTATGAGAAACAATAAAAAGAGGCTCTGATATCTGAATAATCGATAATAAAACCACATATTGACTTACTTTTATACTAAATAAATGTAGGTATGAAGTTATTTTAAAGCTGCATTATATTTATTTTAAACCGATCACCAATTATTACTTTAAATAAAATTTTTCTTAATTATAATTACCATTAATTTTAAGCTAAAACGATAAGAATATTTTTTCGTCGTCTTGAATGACATTTGCGAAATAACTTATGAGAAACAATAAAAAAAGGGATTAGTCTATTGCTGCTGAAAAAAAATCTGTAATTTATTTCCTGCAACATGAAAATAAAATTGTATTTTTTTTTAAACCCGCGGCTTCCCGTTTGCTTCACGTCAAATATTTATGTCTTGAATCATCTGTTCTAAAATGTTCGGCGCATGTCTTAAATTTTAGGATCTTGCTACAGCAGCGCCATCCTAATTCTTCCCTTTTTTTGACCATTTTTTAATGCAAGGAGTTATTTCTCCTTACCTCTACACTCCATATAGCTATACTATGTGTTGCAGATGTTAAAAAAAAATTAAAAACTAACCAACTGATTTTTATTAACTTTTTTTAACTGTTAAGCTATAGGTACATAAACAGACATATATACCGTGCTGGCAACTGTTACTTTTGGGTCGGTGTAACGTGGAAGTAATAAGTCTGAGAGAGAGAAATGCGACGGTGTGCTAAGTCACAATCGCAAACCGCTGATTTTTCAAAGATTTTTTTTTTCGAAAAAATAACTAGATAAAATCATTAGATATGTTTCTGAGCATCTAAAATGAAATTATATAGTCTATTTTTTTATAAGGAGAAAACGTCAGTATTCGTGATAATTTAAAAACCAAACTAAACCAAACCAACTTTTTAACACATAACACGCCATAACCTAAGAACTTAAGAACCACTTTACATATTGAACCTTTTTTTTATTTTGAAAATCGAATCTTTTACAATATGTTTAAATAAGAAAAATTCGATAAGGTTGATTTTTTCCATTCAAAAATTTTAAACAATCCATCCTTTTACATTTAGTGCGTAGCAATTTTCAGCAATCGTGTAGCTTTTTTATTTATAAAGATTTTCACATACTTTCTGCGAAGAAAATATACCAGGCATATTAAGAAAGTTGTTGAAAACACTACGATCAATTATTTGTAATAGATTTCGATATATCGATTTTTGAATTCAGCGTTCTAATAGCGCGACCACTGTCGAACACCAACTCAGTTCCACTTATTTTTCCCAAAAATGCAAGTGTTTCTATCTTGCACTTAAAAATGTTCAAGCTACAGGGAAAATTACAACGACTCGTTAAGAAATAAACAAATAAAGTATCACGAAAGTAATGAAATCGTAAAGCTGGACGCATGATGTACACCTCTCCCTAGAACTTTAAGTACTGACAGAGGTACTGATTGGGTCGACCGGTCGACTGCGACAAATCTACTATATCCCCTTTCACGTCTCTTAGCAATGTGCAAAGTTTCTCGGTTTATTTCATATGTTTGGCAACGTGTTTACTGTTCTCTCTTTGTTCAGTACATACTCTTCTTACATACGGAAATCTCGACCCAAGACTAACCTTTGCCAGCCCTTAGTATACCAAGTACAATATTTAACTATTAAAATAACAATCGCAGGTTACAGTCGCTGCGATATGAAAATCGTAATCGCAGTTTCAATTGCGATTGGAGAATCGCAGCTTTGCTTCATCTCTACTGATTAAGCATTACAAAATATAGTATATACAAAACTCACCCTAAGTTTAGAAACAGAATCATATCCCGTATGGATAATTACCAAATGTCCCCTATAAATTACCCTTTTTGTCTGAAATTTAGTTAGTTGCACACTAGAGTAAAGGCACTATCCCAAGGAAACCTGTAAATTATTTAGTTGAGCCTGAAGGGTATATAAATCTTGCGACGAGGCCTATTTTACTCGGCAGTAGAATCCGAGACTTATCTGCCTCGAGATAAAAACTTTCGGCTAAGTAAGTTTCAGTGTTAATCAAAGGGCTTTAAAAGATTTTTATTAAAGAAAGCAGCCGAAGTTGGTGGTAGTTGCATGGGTCTTTTTGTTGTGGCGGTGGTGTCGAGATAAACTCCAGATCTTTTTAATTAAATAGTTTCAGAAAGAGAAAGAATTATGCGTTGGGTCGTGTGAAAATATGGAAATTAGAGAAGAATGTATATGGTACAGTGAAAGTTTGAAATTCAGTGATTGCTAACATTCACCAGGAAATGCTAGCAATTACACATTGGACCAGTGAAAGTTGTATTTTAAAGAGATTTGTCGACTTTTCCTAGTAATTTCTAACATTCACTAATGAAAGTAAAGGTTACCAGTAAAAGTTATTCTATTGTACAGGGCGAGTGTGGTGAGGAGGAATGTTTGGTGGAAGTTAGAACAAATAAAACTTTTAAGAATATTAAATCACCTCAATATTCAAGCTGATCCACATATCTTAAAATTACAATTTACTTGTTTAGTATATTTATTAAATATTTTACATGTGGCAACCGCGCTAACTAAATCTTTCAAACTCACTCATAATTGAATTTTGCTGGAAACTGTATGGCTTTCGGGTGTATAACGTGTATGCCGTCTCTGCCAAAGTCAATCCAAACTGATGGTACATCTTTAATCTCGTCTGGTATAGAACCTGGGTCAAGATTATTCCAATACGCCTTTGATGGTGCTATTGTTCTAGTACTGGTCCCATGTGTTTGGCAGCGCGAACATAAAAGTAATGTTGTTTTTGAAGACAGTTCTGCAGGTAGATATCCTAATGCAGCTGTGTTGTAACGTGCAGTATGAATTTGGTTAAGATAACAACGCTTCGTGCAAATGTCACAAACGTGTATGCATAATGTGTTAATAGCATTTTCGAACGCTTGTACATGATTTTCAGCTCTGCGTTGCTGTGCACGCTCGAGTTGGTTATTTAACCTGTCTTGGCGTTGCTCAGGTGTTTCTGAAGCTTCTAACTCCTTTCGTCTCTCACGCCGTCCTGTTAATCTGGCCTCACGTTGCTCAGGTGTTTCAGATGTTATTAGCTCTCTTTGTCTCTCTCGTTGTGATGCCAGCCTAGATTCATGACGCTCAGGTGTTTCTGCCGCTAACAACTCTCTCTGTCTGTCACGTTGTGATGCTAGCCTGGACTCATGACGCTCAGGTGTTTCTGACTCTACCAGCTGCCCTTGTCTCTCACGTTGTGCTATTAACCTGGCATCATGTTGCTCAGGTGTTTCTGTTGCTAACCGTTCTCTTCGTTTCTGTAGTCGACTTTAGGTTTCATTTTCACTTTCTTTTGCATGTTTCGTTCTATACTTTTCTTTCGCCTTTTCGAGCCTTCTTTTTCGTTCGTGTAGCAGTTTCGTTTATATTTTTGTTTATTTTTTTATTTATTGTTTCCATGTTGTTCCCACGAGTAATGGACATTTTAACGGTCGACCCCCCCAGAAGTCCAGTAGAGGGGCTAGGCTATAATATACAACAAGAGGCGCCCAATCTTGAGGGGAAAACGCTTGCGACATTACATTTTTAGCCACCCTAATGCCATACAGTCCTCAGCACGTTTTAACCTATTACCTTAACTTGGGTGGTAAAGCTACCGCTAACTACGTAGGTACATCTAATCACCAATTTTTTTTTATCTGTCCTTCTAACGTCACACAATCTTGGACACAACTGTTCTGGACACGACTACTCATGCCCTCACCTAATACGCCATTTTGTAACGACGTCCATCTTGGATTTTAAATTTTGTCATAATCACAGTATTCTACTAGTGTAGCCCTTTCATTTGATACCCATATTGAGGGGATTGTGGAAAAATATGAAATCCGCCATTTTGTACCGGCGGCCATCTTAGATTTACAATGTTATTGATATTACTATATTGTATTGTCATCGGAACTAAAGGTGTGCACCAAATTTCAGATCAATCTGACAACAGGAAGGTACTTAAATTTCAATTTCTAATTTTGACCCAAATAAACAAACAAATAAATAAATACCGTACGGGTCGAGCTAAATAAAACCGTTTAAAAATATCATAAATATTGTA